GACAAGGTCTCTGTGTCTCAGGGCTGGCCACTAATGCCAGTCTACCTCATTCTTATCAAGTCTGGGGCTTCCATGTGGACACTACAGAAATTGACTGTTTGCATATGAGATGTGACTGGAATAATATTAGGGTCAGCAGAGAAATTCAGACGCACTGGCAGAGGAAAGCTCCTCATGACAGGATTAGCAATGCCAGTGAGGTCTAAGATGGGAGTCAGAGTGTGAGAGGAGGTGATGAAAGTCTGGTGTCTGAAGTGGGGGGAGTTGCATCAAAGAGAGATTGTGGGAAAAGCACCAAGGCTTGGTGCCATTGTGGGCATTGAGAAGGAGTGAACTGAGACCCAAATCAAAACTTAACACTGCTGTTCACCCAGCCAATGGCAAACCTGAACTCCAGCAGTGAGGCCCTCAGCATGGCCCTGTTGTCTGGACCACTGGATCTGAGCCAGAACCTATTTACTATCTGAGAAGTAACCTATTTAACATTCTTAGAAAGGGCAACACTGGCATATATTTGAGATGTCAAATTAGCCACTCACCTGAGAGATTTGTATTACCCTATCCAGGTATTGAATTGTTTAGTTCTATAAATGTGAGTGGCCTATTACAGCAAGAGGGGCACTTCTCTTTTAACTTCTGGTTGTAGCCAGAACTGTCATTATCTACTGCATAAAGCTTAAGGCCAAAATTTTCAAAAGTGAATAGCGATTTTAGAGGCCTTGCTTTTGGGTGTGAATTTTGAGACTAAGGGGACTGATTTTCAGACACTCAGAATTTCTTAAGGTAGCTAAAGTTGGGCATCTAAAATCATTAGCTCTTTTTGAAAATCTTGGTTTAAATTGTTAGGGTGAAATCCTACCTCTGTTGAAGTCAAGGGCAAAACACCCATTGACTTTAATAGAGCCAAGATACCCCCCTTTGTCTGTCTGTGTGAAGCAGGTCTCTCTAATTTGCATGATGTTGACGACTACTGGATGACAGATACCAGAGTCTGATTGCTACCACTTGAAGCTAACAGTGGCAATGCATCTCCTTTCCTCTCATTCTTCTTTGAGCTTTATATCTGGCTCTGTTCTGCTAAGTATCTTCCCCATTGCTCTCTCCAGTGCTACCTTGTCTCTTTACCCTTGTTCCTCTGTTCTTGTCAGTCTGTCCTCTATTTGCTGTCCCTTATATTCCATTGCCTCTCTCTTCATCACTTCCTCTATTGCTCCTAAGGTCTCTCTTCCACCACTCTGGTTCCCACGGTCGTCTTTTCCATCTCACATCCTGCAGTCCTTTCTCTACTCTCTCCCCATTAAACCAGGAGGCTAGAGGGAATAGTTTTGATGCTGCCATCTGAAGCAGATAGTCCAGGAAGTTACCTCCTGGTTGCTCACACCCTTTGTTGGCTTCTCTGCTCCCTCTCTGTAATGCAACGCACAGAGAGAGCGAGAGAGAGAGAGAGCAATGAGTAAGGATGCTCAAAAGCTGGCTGCTCAAAAGTTTAGAAGCAGACAAAATGTTAAAAATCCCCTCCTGACAGTTATCTCAGAAGCCATGAATGTCATGCTCACTATGTGGGAGCACTAGCCAAACAGCAAGGCCTTCCCAGGAACTGTCAGATATTTGGCAAGTCTGGCTTTTGGCCTTGTTTCACATAAGACAACACACACACAAAAAGACATCTTCTTTATTATGAGAGGGCCAGTACAGATTTTGGTATGGGTATCATTCTTGTGATGGAAAGAGCAAAACAGATGGTGGAATTCCCCAAACACTTGACTAGTCGCATATGTCATGTAAATACAAAACTGAAAGGATGGGATCTGGAAAAAAAGTGTGAGCACAAAAATTGCATATTCATATTCGTAAAAACTTGACATGTGCCTGTTTATCTCTGCAGATCAACATAAATTGCCATCTCCCTACTGTCCCTTTCTGAATGAGCATTTTAGCTAGGGTGTACATCAACAGATATGGTTAAGGTTGCTGTATGTCTCTATTCTAAATGTCCTTTTTCATTTGCTTATAAGGACATCAAACTTTCATAATTGCTGCATGGTGTCCAATGCTGAATTATTAATGGCATGATGGCTGCAAGTAGATTTCTTTGACACATAAGTCTGTGCTGGCATGTTTCCAGAGTAAGAGAATCTCAGACATATTGTGCCCAATCATTTTTCAACACTTTATCTAAAGGAACAGATTCCATGCCGTGGTCTGACCCCTTGGATCTGAGCTGGGAGCACAAAGATGCTGTAAACAACCCAGAGAACTCCCCAGCTGGGGATTCCTCCAGAGTTTGGTAGCTGGCATAGCTGGCTCCACCTGCTCCTGGAGGATCCAACACAGAGATCATGCAAGGGGTGTTCTGGAGAGACGGGGGTGTGGCCAGAGGGCTACTGCACCATTCTCAGCTAGTATATAGTCTGTAGGGGACCATAAGCAGATAGCATACTTTAGGGCATGCTTAGTTTATGAGAGAAGACCTTGATTTTAGTTTCATGTTTCTAAGGAAGAATTGTAAGAAAATAGAATTTTAAAACCAATGGAAAGACACCCTTGCTGTTACAGCTGCCCTGCCCCGCCTATCTCCTGTATATAAAAAGCTTCTATCGCTGCTGATGTGCATCAGTTCCTATTCATATTAGCCACCATTATGCTGAAAGTGGGGGAAGAGGGGACTTTTAGCCATTTATACAGAGAATTATTTCCGCATGAATTTTCAGTACAATGACTGCTCTGTTAGGGATTTAATTTTTTAATACTAATCCAGATAATTATTTAATCATAATGATTCTGGTTATCCTTGTTGTTACCAGTGTATCAAAGTGTTCTTTGTTAATCTTTATCGAGCTGTGAGAGTGGTTATGGCTTAGTGCAGGATGTATGTGCTGTCAAATTCTATGCAGGCACATTGAGTGGGTACTGCTAATAAGTATATTTTACGTACTTCAGACATTAAACTGCATTTGCAGTTAAGATAAAATCTGAACTTCCAGCAGGTTTATATTTCCTCTTTCCTGAAGATGGCAGAAACTCTGCCTCTAATGAGAGAAGACTCTCATCTCCGGTGACTGCCCAGCAAAAAGAATAGAAAATAATAAAACTGCACCTTCCAGGTCAACGCTGCACTCATTTGCCAATCCGTGGAGTCAGATTTGCAATTCTCTCCCATTCTGATTCTCTTGTGACTTGGTCGGGTGGCACAAGTTCCTGGTCATGCGAGTATATTGGAGCAGTTCTAATCTCTCTTGGGCAGTGGCTGGTACTCCAGCCTTGTGCAAACATTGTATTCGTGTGTTTACATTTTGCAAAGCCTTTATAGTTAACATTGATCAAGTTGCAAGCTGGTTCAAAGCCTTGAAGCTGCAGATTAAACTCACCCCAGTCAGCAAGGTGATTCAACAGAAGGAATCACATTTTCTTTTTCTTCTTACTGTGCCTGTGCCATTTTAAACTGGGCTGAGTGTTTTCCCAGCATCCGGAACTGGTCTTCAGTGGAGATGTGCTTGAGCAATGGAACCATCTTTTGTCTTGGAGAGCTCTTTTCAGATTAAGTAAGTGTCTCAAGACGGAATTCTCTTTACTCAACACTGAGTTAGTGCATGGCTCTGTGTCCGCAAGTGCTATGACGGTGAGAAGAAGGGTTGTGCTGTCTACTTTCATCTCCTCATTCCCTGTCCCTTTAGTCTGTACTTTAATTGGAGAGGATAAAACCGAACTTGCAATTGGATATTGTATTGTTTTGCATTTCTTGTCCTAAGCTCTTGTGTAGTGTTGCTGAGTGCCATTTAATAGCTGCCATATTTTACCCCAGATGTGACTGCATTTCAGTGATGGATGAAGTGATCCCTATTCTGTATAGCGTTTGCAAATCGGGTTCACAGTTTGTGTAGTGATTTTGGATCCCTTAGGATAGAAGGCACAGATGAATATAAACTATGATTATAACACTCTTTTATTACAAAAGCAAAATATCTACCCTCACCTTTTCTTTGAGCTCTTCTCTGCCAGATGTCTGAAATTGACTTTGCAGATTTTACCCAGAATCCAGCCTCTTCCCAGGATATCCATCTTTCTAGGGGTTTAAAGCTTGACTGCTGTTTTATGCATGATGGGCTCTTTGTACATAGGCATAATTCGTTTAGTTTAAAATTTGGTAAGTTTCTCTCTCTAACATGTGAAGGCTGCTTGGCTCTAGTAATTCTGCTGTGTATTTAGCAAAATAAAATGTTTCTGCTGCCATCCTATTGTAACCTCATATTGCAAGGTCGTTAAACTGGTGTATCTTCTCACCTGAGAGGCCAAATTCTGTCCTGAATGCAATCCTTTACAACCACATTGTAGTCATTGGGCCTGAATCACCACTACATTACCCTTGTTTCAGACTAGTGTAACTCTATTGATTATTACAGTGGCATAAGTCTGGAATAATGTTGTAGTCAATCAAGCCCAGTGAGTCAAGGCAGAACTTTGTCCATATTGATTAATAGGCTAGCTTTAATTTTTATTAAAAAAAATGTTGCTAATTGAGTTTATTTCTAAACTAAAATAGACATGAATCTCTACATTTTCAAAGCTGTGTGCGGTATTTAGTACCACGAACACCTAAAGGGAAAGACCTAACTTCCCTCCTTAGTACGCACGTATACGTGTGTTTTGCATCTGGTAGCAAAGAATGAGAACGTGAAAGGGTAAAATGGGAGTTGCACCGCTAAATCACGCATACCACAATGAAAATTCACTCCTTGACATTGTTTTTCTGTCTCCAACATGTTAGTCCTCTCTTATTGTAGAAGTAACTGTATGCCAGAACTTTGGAATAAGAGAGTCCCTGTAGTTAGTAGAACTCAGAAGCTCACACAACGTAAGATTAATTTCCATTTGTGTGTCTGTTTCAGTGACATTTGCTTGTTGGGTGGGAGAGGTATGGGGGGAGCTTTTTTAAACATGTATTTTAAAAAGTATTGGAAAAGATTAAATTGATTTTAATCATTTATTTTTATTCTTCACAGCCTGATAACTCTGAGACCTTTATGAGTCATGTAACCAGAACTGTAAGTAATCCATTTTGATTAGTCTTTTTGATTTGCTTAACCTGATTTAGATTTCAGTCTGTAGTTGCACATTTTTATTACATCTTCACAGAACTATTACTGCTAGTTGTTCTTCAAAGCACAGGCAGTTAGCATATTTAAGGGAAGCAGGTTTGGGTTAAAATAACTGGTGGTAATGCCAAAGGGGTTTTTTTTTGCAGTTTTTCCAGGAACTTTTGCAGTGGACTTGGGCCTTTCTTGCCTTCTATCAGACAAAAACTTCCGAGGGAGGAGAAGAAAAAAGAAATGGCGAAAACACACATGCTCACATTTTTACTCTGAAAAGGAAATCAAAGATCCTATGGCACTTTTTTAGGAGTAAGGGTGCTTGTTAATCCTTGAGTTCTTGGCAATGCACAATTCATATCTTTATCTCTCTGTATATATCTGTGGTTGGCAAAGTATCTTGGGATGAAAGTGCTATATACATGAAAGATATCATGGGCATCAAATAAGGTGTATGCATATTACTCATGAAGACTTGTGATTGTTTTGTACTGAAGCACTCTTTCAGCTTTGGTTCAAATAGCACCAAGTGCAGTTAGAAGATGGGGAGATGCTGCCCTTTGGTAAATGCTGTGGAAAAATATGTGAACTGAATAATATTGTATGTATCAATACTGACCAACCCTGTAAGTGCACCCTCCTTCCCCATTTATCCTTTAGCATGAGTCCAGGTTCAGATTTAATAACTAAACCCGGAGTACTAAGGAAAACTTACCCAACACAAATTGGGTCAGAATTAGAAGCCATTTTAACCCCTTTTTGCTTTGTCTTTCAGTGAGACAGTAAAGTGAGCTAGCATCTTTAAAGGGTTTCACTTTGTGTTGTCTAAGAGCATTGATAAGAATTCTAGGTATAGCAATTATTGGAACACCAGGAAGCAGCTAAATTATCTGGTGACAAGACATTTCCATGAATTAAAATATTTAATGTTTCTCCCAGACTCTCACCCCTCCCTCTATTCTTAGTTGGACAGATTACCTAAAATTAAGAAAAAACACCCCAAAATATCCCTCTTGTCAAATTCATATACTTGAATGAACAATTTCACAGCTCTCCCCTAATATAACTAATATGAAACAAAATCACAAGATAAACGGTGTAAAAATAATTACAGATTACTTTCTATTGTTAGAACAAGCTGTTAACTTCAGAGTGTTTTTATGTTTGCACTAGTTGCTTATTAGATGAGCCAAGGTCAACCTCCTTTGTACGTATGGTAACTCATGCACAGCCAGCTATTTTTGAGCACAATTAAAGTGGCAGGCCACACTATTTCAACTGACTCTTCTGGTGTATACACCTTCACATAGAGTAGTATCTTGGATCAATAAATTGCCCATTAGTTCACTGCTTGAAAAATTTCCCTGTTACCTTCCATGGGACTATACCTGCTAGCCAGTGATTGACATGGAAGATGAAAGGGGGTCTGGCCACCAGACAGTTCTGGTTGTAGCACCATTGCATAAACTCTAGCCCTCAGTGCAGATTTTAGAAAGGGGAAAGATGGTGGGATTGATACCAGTGTGCTATCCCTAGACCCTGTGTTGGTATCAGTCTTTTACATGATCCTCTAACTAGTACATGTACGATAAACTGTGTTGGAATGGTGTAAATTCTCTTTCTCTTTTCCTCACCATCTTCCAGTGCCTCCTAGCTCTTAGGAAGGGAAAGGGTCTGTTTCTCTTGTTTAGCATCCTGACTGCTGAGTGAATATCTTCAGTAGCCACCTCTGTAGCTTCATGGGAAACCTATGAGCAGCAGCTAAGAAAATGTGGCCTGATTCATGACAGTGCCACTTCTGCTCACAAGGTTCTGAATGACACTTGTGAAGCTGACTAGAGTCTAGTTAATTTCCTTCAGCTATTGTTTGGAAAAGTTATGAGCAGCTGCTGAGAAACTTGTGACATTTGCCGGCAACCTCAGGAAGACAGCACTGCATTTTCTTACATTTAAAAGGTATCTTCACAACCATATGGATTAGAACCTTAATTTTTTAACATGAAAGTTTGAATGCTGGAGAAGTTGTTGAATAAGGCTTCTTACGTACCAAGAAAAGTTCTACCTGCTAGTTCAGTTTTTCAAGTCCTTCCTTGGTGTGCATACTCCTTTGTAATAAAATAGGTGGGATGCAAATGTTTGACTGAAAAGCAATTTCAAGCCATGATAGCAAGAAGTGTTTTCCTATTCACAGTTTATGTGCCATCACTTCATTGGCAATAAAACTCTCAACCACATGCTATCTATTTATTGGTATTATGAAGGATCCCACAATATTCTACAAACATTAATGACTTAAGCCTCAGAACATGTCTGTGAATTAGGCACTTTTAAAAGATCAGACCCAGGGTCACATAACAGATCTGTGATTGAACCAGGAGCAAAGCTCAAGAGATCTGACTTCCAGTCCTCTGTTCAAACCACCAAATATTGCTTCTTTCCCATTATATTGGACAATATGAATGTATTTTTTCAAAAGTAATAATCACTGTAGGACCGAGGGAATGTGCTTTATACACCACTGATTCACACCTTCTGTGTAGTGGTTGTGTTAACAGTCGCATCCTGAAACCACACCAGTTTTGAATTAATGCAGCAGAGTTTATATCCTGTCATGTCTCTTGTGATGAATTAGGTTGCCTGTGGATAGTAATTATTCAGGAAGCTGCCTATAACCTCTGGAGTAATAACAAGAACTCTACTACAACTGGCGCCTCAGATAGCACTGTTTAATTCACCCTGGTAATGTGTTTGGTTTCAAATAGCTGACTAGCTTGATAACTCCTAACATGATACTTAACATGATCACATCTAAATCCAGTAGCAGCATTTTGCACTCAGATTTGCTCTGCGACTCTGCTCTCTACACTTGTGCAGAACTTCCACGAACATCAGTGCAGATCTGAGAGCAGAATTGTTTACTAGCAAAAGTTTAGTCTTTTGGCCAGAGGGTGTAAGAGGGCTGGATTCTGCTTGTGCAGTGCAAAGTGTACTTAAACCAGCCAGAGAGCTCCCCTCATGAATTTTCCCTGTGCAGGGGAATTTCTTGCCAGAGTAAGACTGGCAGAGGCAGCTATGCCACCTCCTGCGCCAGCTCCACCACCACTGTGCAAGGCTCTCAACTGGCATGATGTCACTGAGGGACCTTCCACAAGTGGCATAAATGAAAGTTGTCCCTTTAAAGCAGCAGCTTTAGCTTACGCTGAGGCTTGGTGGCTAAGAATCAGGGAGCCTGTCAGCGTTTTCCTTGGCTGCCATGGAGAGCCAAGCATAGAGTGTTTTTAAAATGATATTGTCAGCGTTTGTAGAAGAGTTTGCCTGAATTTACCCCCTATTGGTGCAGGAATGGCTCCTTCCTGCACCGTAGAGTCCCACTGTGCCTGTGGGGAAGGGAGACTGCTTTAATTCCTACCAAGGATTCCATGGAAGCCAATGGGAATGTGCTGAATCAGCACTTGCCACCCCAGTCATGCTCACTTTTGGAGTATTCCTGACACTTTTCTCAGGCCTCAAATGAGGGAGAGATTCTGGGAACCCTGACAACAGAAGCCAGCATAGACCCAATGTTTGGTCTGCCTTGGGATAGCAAACTGTCCATGTGACTGTTGGTTTTCTTCTCAAGAGCTTTGTAGATTGCAGCTTGTGCTTTGTCTAGTCCCCCCCCCCAGCAATCATCTGGCAATACTGTGGTGCCAGAGAATCTTGTTGCAGTTTTGTTTTATGTCTGGATTGACTCTCCTGGTCTCTTAGTTATTCTCTTTGTAGGCTGTCTTCCTGTGATGTGGGTTGAGACAAGTGGCTGAGTGTATCTTCGCATTGTTTGGTGAATATTTGCACTTCTCTTTTGTTGGACTGAGTTGTAGTGGGGATTTAGACTGTATGCTTATATGAGTTCTCTGGTTTTGCATGGATGTTGTGTAATAAGGGGAGATGCACATTTCTTCCTGGCAAATAATCAAAGACTCTCTTTAGGACCTTTGATTAGACCAGGGGTCGGCAACCTTTCAGAAGTGGTGTGCCGAGTCTTCATTTATTCACTCTAATTTAAGGTTTTCTGTGCCAGTAATGCATTTTAACGTTTTTAGAAGGTCTCTTTCTATAAGTCTATAATATATAACTAAACTATTGTTGTATGTAAAGTAAATAAGGTTTTTAAAATGTTTAAGAAGCTTATTTAAAATTAAATTAAAATGCAGAGCCCCCCGGACTGGTGGCCAGGATCAGAGCAGTGTGAGTGCCACTGAAAATCAGTTCGCGTGCCGCTTTCGGCACGCGTGCCATAGGTTGCCTACCCCTGGATTAGACACAATATATATGCCATTGTCAGTCTCTGCTCAGGAGAAGCCTAAGGACTGGTCCTACAAGTTACAATGGAAGTACATTTGCAATGTTGACTGCGCACATTGCTTGCATACGCTATACTTGTCTATGAACAGTTCCTTTTGTATGCATGAGCTCAAAAATTAACAAAGAATTAAAACAAAAAATGCTGGGAGCACAGGGAAATGACGTCCCCTCTACCTGGGACGAAGATGCTACACAGACACAGAGGGAAAGAGGGACAGGTTATAACAATGTCTCTCAAAACTGAACTTCACCAATATAGTCTGGACTAACTCCTAAGGGGGAGAATCCTATCCAGGTCTCCTTGGCCAAAATACATGTGAGAGTGCGTGTGAGAATGAAGCAGGGAGGTTGAGAAGGTCTCGTGTTTGAAAACTAGATGACAGGATCATATTGAATTCTTCCAGAGCTCCCCAAAACAATACACTAAATATGAAAACCAGCTGCACATATTGTAACAAGTAATTGAAATTGGGATGTGCAAGGTGGCTGACATTACTATGAGGATTGTGGGTAACTTTTCACTTTCTGACTTCTAATTTTTATTTTGAATGTACAGCTGTTATGAGCAAAATCTTTAAAGGAGCCTCAACCTGGCCTCTATAGTCGCACCTGTAACCTGGGAGTTGAACATATAAATACTGCTGTTTACATTCACAATTGCCTGTAGTTGATTGCAGACATACAAATCAAAGCCTTTTAAAAATCTGTGGCCCATAATGCAACATTAGATTAGTGTTTTTTAATTTAATTTCTTGTATAAAAAATATAGCTGTGGCACTATGAAGTTGTGGAATTTTATTTTGCAGATTTTTTGCTGTGTAGGCACATGAAAATATCCAGGTTTGGTATTGTGGAATTATGCAACTCAATAGCAATAACACAGGCAATAGCAGTAACAATGTTTTTAGTTCTTGTGCACAAAAGACCATTTTAATGTCTTGACTTTATTTTAAAATATTTTTTTCAAATATGACCATAAAGTTCAGTCGCTTTGAGTTATTTTTGCATTCTGCAGAAATTCTTAACAGGTTTTTTAAAATTGGACACATCACAATTATGGCTTTTTGTCTTACCCACCTGACAGCTATGGCTGAATAGGTTTTATTCAAACTTTAAAACCCTCAACTGAAACAGAAATTAAATTGGCAGGAATGAGTGTGCAGAAACAAGTATTGGGGAACTGGTAGTGAAAATGGACTTGCAACCTTTCTGATAGCATTCATGAGAGAATACAGTAGTTGACGACATTGTCAGGTTCTCTCTTTAAGTAAAGAGATTGGCAGCAGTAGTGAGTAAACCTCTTCATTAGAAACCCAGGCTAGATTTTCAGAAGAGCTCAGCTTTCATTTAGGCACCTTTCATTTAGGCAATTTTCAGAAGTCCTAGGCACACTGCAGCTCCCATTTAAAAACAATAGGGGCTGCTGGGTGCTGAGCCCGTCTGAAATTCAGACCACTTTGTTTAGGTGCCTAAAGGGGAGCTGAGAACTTTGAAAATTGGACTGCATATCACTTGCAGTGACTCCCCAGTTGTGACTTTTTAAACTTCCCCTTGCTATTTCTGCTGTTGATTAGTGTCTGAGCAGCTGCCAGACCCTGCTGTAGCAGAAGACATATGAGTGCAGCTATCTCTTGTTGAAGCAACTTACCTCACATCAATGGCTATTATAGCAAGCACCTAAGACTGGCCAGCCATCCAGATTACTTGATTGTCTGAATGTTGTGACACTTGTTTTTATAAAAAAGGAGATGCCATTTCATTTCTGTAGGCTAGGTGTGTTACGGTGAAACTTCTTGATTTCGTTTTTTTTTTTTTTTTAATCTTGTTGGTGATTGAATATATATTTTGTGTCTGTGATTTTGATATCATGCTTTCAAGGTACTTTCACTAGTTGTTAGGACAATATCAAAAACTGTTCCGTTCACCTGTGGTTCTTAGAGCTTGTTACCTCCCTGTCAGCTTACAGGAGAGGAGCACTTTATAATAATAATATTGAAATAATAACTACCAAAAAAAACAAGGGGCAGGCATGGGAACCTTTATTTGTCCTGTCACTATTGTACTTGCAAATCTCTCAAGGTACTTACATGGCCTACATCACTGTAATACCTGAACATCTCTCTCATGAATAGATTTTATCTTTAGAATCACCCCTATGAGGTAGGGACGTACTATCCTCATTTAACAGATGGGGAACTGAGGCATGGGGTAGGTTAAGGGTCTTAAGCAAAGTCCCACAGGCAGGCTGTGGTTGAGCTGAGAACTGACCCCAGGTCTCCCTAGTACCCTAACCACTAGACCAACGGTTCTCAAACTGTGGGTAAGGACCCCAAAGTAGGTCATGACCCCGTTTTAATGGGGTCACCAGGGCTGGCGTTAAACTTGCTGGGGCTGGGGGCTGAAGCCCGAGCCCCACCACCCAGGGCTGAGGGCTTCAGCCCTGGGTGGCAGGGCTCAGGTTACAGCCCCCCTCCCCCTTGGGCTGAAGCTGTTGGGTTTTGACTTTGGCCCTCCAGCCTGGGGCGGTGAGGCTTGGACTTGGGCTTTGGCTTCCCACCTAGGGCGGCAGGGCTAAGGCAGGCTCAGGCTTCTGCTCCCACTCCTGGGGTCATGTAGTAATTTTTGTTATCAGAAGGGGGCCGTGGTGCAATGAAGTTTGAGAACCTTGCACTAGACCAGGGGTCTCAAACTCAAATGACCACAAGGGCCACATGAGGACTAGTACATTGGCCCGAGGGCTGCATTTATTGACACCTCCCCCGCGCCGCCCTTCGCCCCGCCCCCACTCCACCCCTTCCATAAGGCCCCGCCCCTGCCCCGCCTCTTCCCACCCCTTCCCTGCCCCCATTCCAACCCCTTCCCTGAAATCCCCACCTCAACTCTGCCCCCTGCGTGCCCCCAGGGGGTGCAGGAGGGGTGTGAGGTGTGGCGGGGGCTCAGGGCAGGGAGTTGGGTGCAGGAGGGGGGAGGGGTGCGGCAGGGGGTCAGGGCAGGGGGTTGGGGTGCAGGAGGGGTGCAGCAGGGGGCTCAGGGCAGGGGGTTGGGGTGCAGGGTGCAGCAGGGGGCTCAGGGCAGGGGGTCAGGGTGCGGAGTGCAGCAGGGGGCTCAGGGCAGGGGATCAGGGTGCAGGACGGGTGCAGCAGGGGGCTCAGGGCAGTGGGTTGGGGTGCAGGAGGGGTACAGCAGGGGGCTCCGGTAAGGGAGTTGGGGTGCAGAAGCGGTGTAGGATGCAGCAGGGGGCTCAGGGAACGGAGTTGGGGTGCAGGAGGGGTTCAGGGGGCGGGTTCTGGCCCGACGGGCACCGGGGGCAGGGCAGGCAGGCAGGCAGGCAGGCAGGGAGCCTGCCCTGCCCCTGGTGCGTGTCGGGCCGGAGCCGCTCTAGGTAAACACTGGGGAGGGCGGGGGGGGCCGCAGAAAAAAACCCCGCGGGCCGCGTGTTTCAGACCCCTGCACTAGACCATCCTTCCTGCTCAAATACTTCCCAGTAACCTTAGAAGAATACAAATACAAGAGCATTTTGTATTAAATGTTTTATTTTGAAATTGCAAACTTGCCATTT